AACCGAAGGACAATGATCGAGACGGATGCCTCAAAATATGTATGCTCTGGCATGCTATCGCAACAATGCGATAATGGAAAATGGAGGCCAGTATCCTATCGATCCAAGACAATGACTCCCGCAGAGTGTAACTACAATGTTGCAAACAAAGAACTATTAGCAATAGTTCAAGCATTAAATAAATAGAGAAGATACGTTTCGAATAACGACCATCCAGTCCGAGTTCTAACCGACCACAAGAACTTGGTACCGTTCATGACTACGAAAGAACTGAACGATCACCAGATAAGATGAATGGAACACCTCAGCAAATATAACTTCAAAATAGAATACCAACCAGGTAAAGAAAGTGGAAAGTCAGATGCTCTCACAAAGATTGCAAGCGACCAACCATAAACGAAAGAAGATGAAAGAATCAGACAAAAAACATGAACTCTATTACCAAAAACCTACTTCGAGGCAATGGAGGTTATCCAATTCACATCAAAGGAGGAAAGAGGAACTGAGAACGCAAACGAGAAAGACAAAACAATTCAGGCAATAAGAGAAGCCTTGGAAGAAGGAAAAAAGGAGATGAAAGGAATTGCACTGGGGTTATGCCAATGGAAGGACGGAAATATGTGGTACGATGGAAAACAATGGATCCCGGAAGAAGAGGAGATAAGGACAGACATCATACGACAATACCATGATATCCGAAGGGCAGGACACGGAGGAACGGCTAAAACCACGGAATTCATCACGAGGTCATTCTAGTGGCCAGGACTACGCGAAGATGTCAAACGATATGTCAAAAACTGCGACATATGCCAAAAAACGAAAACGGCTAAACACGCACCATATGGATTACTAAAATCAAACGAAATTCCCGAACAACCATGGGAAACAATTACTATGGATTTCATCACGGACCTACCAACATCGGAAAATTGCGATAGCATCCTGGTCGTGGTGGATCATCTGACCACAATGAGCCATTTCATTCCGGTTAGAAAAGATATCAACACGAGGGATTTTATACAAACCTTCTTCTGAGAGGTCTTCCGACTTCATGGCCTACCTAAGAATATCATTACCAATCGAGGAACACTATTCACATCAGGACTATGGAAAAAGGTAACTGGGGAAATGGGAATATAAAACAGAATGAGCACAGCGTTCCACCCACAAACGGATGGACAAACGGAACGGATAAATGCGATACTCGAACAATATTTAAGGGCTTACATCAATTATCAACAAGATGATTGGTACAAGCTGTTATCAATGGCCGAATTCGCATACAATAATGGAAAGCAAGAAGCGATCGGCACAACACCATTCTTCACGAATTACGGACAACATCCACAAAGTCAGACCACATATCATACGATTAATGATGTGATACCAGAGAAAAAGGATCTGGGAAAACTACACGAAACCTTACAATACGAAATGAGTCAAGCACAACAACGGCAAAAAGAACAATACGATAAGCACCGAAGACCGGATCCGAACATACAACCAGGAGATATGGTATGCCTAATACCACACAATATCCATACGACACGACCATCAAAGAAATTGGACTACAAGAAAATTGGACCCTTCAGGATATTGGAAAAAGTGGGCAGCCGAGCTTATAAACTCGACCTTCCCCTCTCAATACGAATACACAATACATTCTACATCTCACTCCTCGAATTACATAACGACAATAAGTTTCCTTCACAAACACTTATTCCTCCCCCTCCGATCGAACTCGACGGAGAACCAGAATACGAGCTCAACGAAATAGTCGATTCCTGTTTCTTCCACGGTCACCTCCAATACCGAGCCAAGTGGACAGGATATTCTCATGAACACGATAAAACTTGGTACTTCGCACACAACTTCGAAAACACACAAGATGCCATCTCAACCTTCCACCAACGATACCCAGGCAAGCCCGACCCAGGTGACGATGATGTTCAACCAAGACAAAGGCGCGGGAAAGGCTCCCGTGCTATTGCAACCACATGAGGGCTGGGGCGATAGCCCCTGCCAAAATACACCCACCAGCTCCGAATACTCATTCATGGGGCCAACCGATGAGGAACTTAAGGAAAGGGAACGATAAGCACAGCATAACGCCATGTCATGGATGGTATGCTACGATGACAGTTGCCAAACACACTTTGGCGACAAAGAACGCTCAGGATGGTTCCCGAAGGAATGTCGAAAGCGTGGCCCACGCCCAGACCACGTTCTAAAGCATTGGCAACAATGCTTCAGAAATGGGTGCAGAATGCACAGGGCACAGAAAATATCTGCGGGATTCTACCCGCAGAAAGATGGAAGCAGGAAAGAGTTGGAAGGAGAAGATGCCAGAAAGGCATGGGCCAAGAGGACGTGGTCCAGGGAGGGAGGGGCCCAAAACTCCTCCGCAGACACGGAACCGGACGTTAGGAGCCTACACAGACAGATCCGGGGACTCCGAGAACAACTGAGCCAAGCTGAGGCCACAATTTCGGCAAATAACAAAACGATCGCGCAGCTTAGACAGCTGAACGACAATCAGCGGCACACGATCAAGATGGCGAATCTGACTCTGGAATCGGTAAGTGTCAGATGGAGGACGGCAGACAAAAAGTTCTACAAGCTGAGACGGACCATGCGCTCGGCAGGATGGGAACTATTGAAACTGGGAGAATAAGCCTAATGGGACTCAGGCTTAGGAGGAGGGGAGCTAATATCACGAACATGGCTTAGCAAGGAAAGGGTTTTCACGTGACGCATAGTTATGAGTCACAGGTAGGTTATTGTTTCGCGCATATGACCTATTCGGGTTATATGATTTGTTATGTGTGGGATTTGTGATGCTTTCGCACATGGCTCAAGTATGAGTCATAGGACATGCGCTTGATGAGTATGCCTTGCGAGTGTGCCTTATAGGTAAGCCTTGCGCATATGATTTATGTTTCGCACATGACCTCGTTATGAGGTCATGGGTTTCGTGCATATGACTCAGTCGAGTCATATGACTTGTTTGTTATGATTTGGTTTCGCACATGTGACCACTTTAGGTCACAAGACTAAAGGCGGGAAGAACACTATATAAGGAGGCTGATGCGGCCGAGGAAGATAGGTTCTTCACGCTTTGTTCTACGTACTTTTCCTACTTATTACTTTAACAAATATAAAACACCTTTACGATCTTTATCCTTATTGCAACATTATCGTTATGCCAAGGAAGGCGCTTTACGAAGATGAGTTAGAGAAAGCTTACGATAGGCGTTCCCGGTAGAAGACAAGGGTCTTGTACTATCGGTAACGTAGGCAGGGACTTAGAGCTATCGTAGGATAAAGGAAGAAGAAGACAGGAGAGAAGTCTCGTTCCCCGTCGCCAAGCACTAACTACCCAGAGAGGGATCGTTACAGGTGCCTACAATCCTGACCTCCTTATATAGTACTCTCCTCACCAACCCTAACCCTGATAACTCATAACTATGAGTCATGTAAAACCTCATAAAAAGGTTATATGACTCAAGTGAGTCATATGTGCAAGACCCATAACTCATAATTGTGTCATGTGCAAAACATAACAAATCACAATATAAATAAGTCATTTGTGTGAGACCCATGACTCATAATTGACTCCTGTGCAAAATATAACAAATCATAACATAAGCAGGTCATATGACTTGAGTGAGTCATGCGTAAAATCCTGTCACATTAGTGACATCCGCTAACAGAGAATATTATATTTATTGAATTATGAAAGTAGTGTGAAAGAATTCAGAGTCAAACAGTGTTTGTACTTATTAAGACTGAGGACTGTTGCATACAAGATCAGGAAAGATACTTAGTTGTATAATAGTTAGAAGTAGTCTATGAACACTCAGATGTAGGATATAAATATCGAAGCGCCACTTAAGCTTTATAGATAACATTAAGCAATAGAGAAGAGATCTTAACAATGTAATATTATTCTACTCACGAACCTTTATTACTATATCTTCATTGTTCTATTAAGTGAGTTCTTAGTAGTAATAAATAAAAAGAACATTACCAAGTCTTCCTAGACAATCTGTGTCTATACCAAAGATTCCAGCCTAAGTGTTCTTGACACACGCTAGAGTCGACTTCCGCCTAGCAGTAAAATAAAAGGAGGAAGTAGAAGAAGAAGAAAGAAGAAAAGAAGAAGAAAAAAAAGAAAAAAAAAGAAAGAAAAAAAAAAGAGTTGTCTTGTGAGAGGAAAAATACAGGGGAGTTGCGTTGATGCCAAGCCATGCCGTGCCTCGCTAAGTGTGTCGCCTCGCTGAGCCCTCACATGGCTTACCAAAAATGTTACCTTTAAGTCCCTGTTGGGGATGGTCCCACATTACGAGTTAAATGTAATCATCGGAGAACTTCATTGGTTGGAAAATAGGGTTGCCGGGTAACTAACCGTGTCTGCAACAGGCTATATCATCAGGGCCATCCTAACATCTGTCAACTATCCAAGCCTGCGAGATTACGCACCTGTACCTCTTTGAGCCCCGCAAAACCCTATCTCACCATCCCCACTACCCCTATTCTAAGAGGTATCATATTTATCAACGTACGCCTCGCAGATTTCTCGGCTTCCCGCCTACACCCGTTCTCAAGTCATTCCTACGATTACGTTTACCACAATCGCCAATACCAACAATGTCTATAAATCGCTCTCCTACGAAATCTCTCTTTTTATGATGCTACCCATCCTGATGTGGCTCTTGGAGGGCTTGCCCAGAATGGGTCTATAACCGAGGCAAACTTTTTTGACATTCTTGGCTTACTAAATGTGGGAAATGTAGCACATACCGTCGCACTATATCGTAAACCCCAGCCCGAAGAAGCACGGCCGTTCTGGATATGATGCGGCTCAATGCTCTCTCGTGAGCACGTATAGGACTCCCCTCAACGATAATTAGGATTCCGAGAATGTCAAGAAAGTTTGCCTCGGTTATAGACCCATTCTGGATAAGCCCTCCAAGAACCACATCAGGATGGGTAGCATCATAAAAAATGACGTTACATGAGAGAAAGCGATTAAGTAGCATCGCTGGTATTGGTGATTGTCGTAAACGCAATTGTGAGGGTGATTTGAGAACTGGTGCAGGTAAGAGGTCGAGAAATCTCCGCGGTGGATGTTGCTAAATGCCTCTTAGAATAGACGAAGTGGGGTTAGCGAGATAAAGCTTTGCGGAGCTCGGTGAGGCACCAGTGTGTGACCTCATGAGCTTGATTGTTTGACGGAAGTGGGAGTGGCCCTGCTTGTATCACCTGTTACGCATACTACTAGGCACCCCTATTTCCACTTGATGAAATTCGCAATCGATCCCGCGCCAACACGTAATGCAGGACCACTTCAGAAGCTGCCACGAGGGCTGCTATCCTGGCAAGCAAATTTGTCGCCTTAGTGACCAATACAATTGGTTAGTCACAGGACAGAGATCCCCTTTACACATTCTCAATTATTCAGTACTCTAGAGTACTCGTGTACTTTGGATGTTGGGCAAAGTCGGGCGAAAGTGGCTCACAGGATGTCTATGCGGTTGGCAGCGAATACTTCCCGAGACCTTTTCCTACCCTCGAAGTTATTACTTGTCTTTCATCAGCGCCTTCCGCTCCCGGGATTACCGAATCATATTTGGTGAATATATGGCAGTTCTGGGTTTTGTGCACTTTTAGCTTTTAAGTGACCTTCTTGGCTAACACAAGCTGTACTTATAACGATATCGATCTGGCCCACTGATTACGATCTAACTAATTGAAACAGTGGCCACAAGGAGGTGAGCAACGTTTCCTCAAGTAGGCTATACTGACCCAATAATAGACTTATTTGCTAGAAGTCGGGGTTGTAGAAGAATCCGGAATTTGCATACTTCACTATGTCCCTCCGCCAATAGCCAAACCGGCTTATTCACGGCATACCCGATAAAGCATTCAGGATAGCACATGTGAAGCGGACAGAGAGACGGCCCTCCCCGCACCGGGTCCGTCGAGCGGCGGACTTGGACGTCCCGTACAACCACTCGTACCTTGTTCTAACAATAATCAGTAAGGTTACAAAACATTACTCGATAGACAAACAGCTGTTTTCCAAGTCCACACCCCGAGAAGCACCACTGCACCGGCTCAGCCGAGTGGGCGAAAGCGGGCTCGCGGTTGGCCTAACGCAGGAATGTATGTGAAATCCGTCAAATGATAATATTGTGATAGAACCCTCCAATAAAGAAACCCACGCTGACATTCCCATCCTCTAACAGAAATTGCCATGGTACTATCTCCAGCCAGCCCCACCGTCGGTAGCACTTGCCCGCACACGAGCATACCATAAACACAATGGTATACGTCTTCCCTAGTCCTCAACTGCTGGACGGGTGGTGCCAGAGGTTGGTGGATTCGGGGATGGTGAGATGATGGTACCCTTTCATCATCACTCGACCTTTCGAACGATGCCGTTTGCCTGCAGACCCACGAAACACCATCAGTGGCTGCTATGGATAATACTTCTTCGGAGCTAGATAAATAATTTACAAAAATCGGGAAGCTTCATATATACGTCCCACTCACCGATGGCGTAGGCTCCGGATATGAAAATACGGTTACATTGAGAGCCCAAAACTGCGATTGCACCCCCCCCCTTCGCCACCTCCTACTCCTTTTTCCGCATTCGCATCTCCCGCTGTTCCCTTTCCTTCCTCTCTCTACATCCGAACCATTTATCGTACATCTCCCTAGCCTCCTTCTCAGCCATTGCCTTCTCCAACCTCCATTCCATATCCTCCTTATGCTGGCTAACCATTTCGGCATGTTTCTCCCAAACCTCCAGCTTCTTCTGAAGCCTTGCGACTTTCTTCGCCTCCTTCGCCTCCTTCTTCCGAGCCTTCAGCAAGGTAGCCGTCTTATACTTGACAATAGCCCTCACCCCATCGTCATGAGGGTCCACGTGTTGAATTACCTATAGGGCATGTGGTTTGGTGGATGTGGTTCGGGTATGCGATTAGGCGAATAGGAGGTTATCGGGCATGTGTTTTTGAGGTGTGCGGTGATTAGGCATAGGGTAGTTCGTATAGGGCAGAGGCTTGAGGGATCATAGTGGATCATGAGACATCAGAATGGTTCTAGATTGTTTGAGATCATGGTTCGATAGCATGGTGTGTTTCTTTGGAGTTCTTTGAGTTTTTGGAGTTTGGGAGATATATCTCCGGTCCTGTCTTTAGCTAGGAGGTTGGTTGTCAGTCATGAATTTTCCCTCCTTCCGTGTTCATCTCCACTTATCGTCTATCGTGATTCCACCCTCACACTTCATTCTTTTGCGCTTCCTTTAGGTTTCATTACCATGATGGCAACCGACTTAAGCTTCTTGTTGCCATGGCCAATCTTTATGTTCCGCCTTGTGCGAGATTTCGCTCCAAGCAGAGGTCAACCCATCCGCTCTTCCTCATGTCTCTGTACTCCATTTTTCCGAGGCTCTTAGGGACAACCAAGCGTTCGGTGGAGCCTGTCGGAGGGTACACGTCGAGTATGACATCCCCATCGCGTTTTATAGGTGAGAAGATGATGGGCGAGAGGGTTAGACTGTAATTGCGTAGTTGTGACACCGTCTACCCACTGGGCTTTGAACTGGCGTGTCGGGTTCACCGTCGACGGGGGTTGTGCCAAAGTCGTCTATTGTTGGGCTGATCTTGTTCATGTCGGTGCGGTGGTAGACGCCACGGCGGGAGATGACGTATGAGTGCTCGTGGTGCTCATAGTTTTTGGATTGCTCCCCCATGAGTCTCCGTAGATAGCCGAGACGCTCATAGCATTGTGAAAAGCGGCGGTATTCTTTGCGTTGGGTGCCGTCCATGGGGCGAGAGACGAACAGGGTGCATTGTTCGTGGTTCGTGCAAGAGGCGATTATAGCGATGGGCCCCTGTTCGATAGGGGTGTTGGCGGAGCCGTGGGCAATCGTGGTCGAGAAGGATTGAAAAGCTTTGCCAATGTCCTTGATGTAGTCCTTTAGGGTAGCGGAGCGGGCTTAGGCGATGGCCTCGAAGCCTATTGGAGTGCCCCTCTCGATCATCAAAAGAACGCCGCAGTTCGGGTTTAGGTGCGACCATACCGGTGTTTGGGGGTTTTCTTTTCCTTCCCTTTTCCCGGATGGTGGTTTGACTACGCACTGTGCCCTACCCGCTAACTCACTTTACCTTCACGATATACCAGAAAGTAATTGCCTGATAATAGGGACTGGTGAGTATTGATCAATTTCACAAATAACGCAGAGGAATCAAAGAAAGAAAATGTAGGTTCAGTTCGGTAGAGATGAAAAGTTCTATTTTCCCGGTGGTGGGTGTGTGTGTGTAAACCTTTTATTCAACTACAATCTCACCTACTAACAAAAGTAATCGGAGTACGGCATGAGATACAGCCCCCAGCCCTGGGCCCCCCTTAAAGAAATCCCCCTCGCGGGCCACCTGCCACAAAAACAATCATAACATCAACGCGCAACAAAAGAAACAACAGCCCAGCGCCCGCACCTACACCCAACCCTACCCCTAGCAACATTAGCCAAGCGTCCACGGCCCCCTGTCGCAGGCGCCGCCCAAAGGCGGTGTGTGTTCGTTGTTTTTGCTAAGAGAAAAAAAGAAAGCTATAAGAAGAAAATCCTGCACGCCAAGCCCCCTCTTACACATGAAAGATATCCAGAGCCTCCTCCCCATCAAATACATGAAACGAACCTCCAAATCAAGCAATTCTACGAGTACGAGTATAGATGAACTCATTACACGGTTGACTACAATAGGGTTTCATCGGCAACTCTATCATAGTACTCATTACCTAGTTGATTACAACAGAGTTTCCTCAGAAACTCTATCACAACACTAGTTTGATTATCTCACTCGCATTTCCTTTCTCTTTACCATTCCGCTATGTTGTATCATTGTCATTGATTCCCCTCCCCTCTTGCGTGAGGTATATGTCATAGGTGGTTGGGGCGCGCTCTCCTATAACACAAGTAGGGCCTGATAGCCCGCCGGTAAAGCATCAATTAAGCAAGAAGTACAGTACAACCTCAATAAAGACTTACAACATGCGTTTTATTTTCAATTACAAGAATTTACATTTCCATCACGGAATATACGGCAGGTTCGGGTTTCGATCCGGGCTGCGTTTGCACGATCCACAAAAAACAGTGACACGGAAGCACTATCTTCACCCGATGAGGTAATTTTGCATCATGCAGTAGCATTTCTTTTTTGATGCCGAGTGATATGTCATGATAGGGCCCACAATTCACTCCTGCCCGGTCTCCTGGATGACTAACATGCTTGATACGGAACCACCCCCAGGGGCCTGCAATACATCGAGCCAGAGCCAATACGCTTGTAGAGGATGCACTCTAATAGAAACTCATTCATCAGAATCCTGAGAGCGCAAGGTACAAACCTTAGCACCACCTTCCTTGGCTCCCGACACACACCGAAACCCGCAGGATCCCAGCGCAAAGAGAAGACCAAGTCCCGATTCATAATCCAACGCCTGACCCATGACACAGCGGGATCCTGGCATCATTCCAAAGTCACATCGGTCCTTCGCTATTGCCCCTCCTTTTTTATCGATGAATCACTCTCCATCATCCATCGCCGCAACCCCAAACCTGTGATAACCTAAGGTGGAAGACAGGCTGCCGGGCCAGCGAATTCAATCGTTGTGGCGCTTAGCTAATCTGAGCGCTAACTGAGAGGGGATGACTGACTGACCGCTGGATGGGTTTGCTGGGCCGTTGTAAGTTAGTCTAGCGCGGACGTAACTCATAGTGGATGGAGGACTGCTGGGTGAGTATCCCTAACCACTAAGATACACCGCCTTGCTTCATGTCAAGTTCTTTAATTTACCGAAATTCAAGACTTATCGTGATTGTAAACTCCACTAAGTGAAACTAATTGATTGACGGGGAAACCGCCAGAGGGTTTGTGTAGCCATATCAGAACCGAGGACGACCGTTCGGCTTTACAACGGCCCTACCTGTGAAAATGGTGGTCTCACACTATTTGCCCTCATGAAACCTGCTAAGGCTTTGGCCACCCCACAACAGAACGGTTGACTGTTTTCAAGTTTGCCAAACCGCAGTTCCACTTCAGAACCTTTGTAACGGAAGGGAAACGGAAGACCAAGCACCCCTACACGGAAAACGGTTGTAAAAACGAACGGAACTGTTGTATCCAAACAGATACTTAACACTCTTAGTTCCTGATGCATGTTAATGTTTCCTGTTGTGGTCACTTAGCAAAGACCCGTAATGGTATTAAATCGCCGCTTCGTAATAAGGTTTCCACTTTCATGACCATGTGTGTGGGGGTTGTCTCTGTAATTGCATCTTCCAATCCAGAACGTGCTGTACATAGAGGCTAGAGCACCATATGCAGGTTTGAGTGAAGGGATAGGCTGAATCTCAGGTATGGAACCAAGACGCCGATGGCAACTGGTATTTGGGTGGGGGCTTTCTATGCTGCTGAATACATTACAGGCATTTGGTATGTGAATCTTTTGATTTTCCAATTTCACCTTAAAATTTCCACTAGCCTTAGGGTTGTTTTCATTGCTGGAGCGATAATTTCTCTTGTGATGGGAATACGGATTTGATAGGGGAAAGATTGCTAAATAGTGACAGAAAGTTAATTTCTTTTGCCACTAAAATCGTACAGCCATACCCCCGAAAGATGCCCAAACTATGAACCCATTTCCTTCCCTTACCTGCCTATGCAGAAGCAAGCCCAGCCACCTAACAATAGCTAGCCTAAAGATGAGTGACGAAAAAAAAAGAGCAACGCAAGAAAAAACTGGCCTGGATAGTATTTTTTACAAGCCCCTTAAGTTAATATACCCTTCTGAGGTGTTTATCCCTTGCTGGATATCTATCACAATCCTGCCGGACCTCCGAAAACGTGATGATAGAGTGGCCGGTATCGTGAAACTAACGGCTGCAAAATCGCACCAGATTCGTAAGGGTTATCCTTAGGAAACTCCCCTCAGCCTAGCAGCTATCTCCAACTCGAATCTCTCTCGCGCGTATGGACCAACACTGATCTCGCCCACCATATCGGTCCCCGGTGGAAAGTCGTGCTCGAAGACCGGTTCCCCTGCTCCTCTGACATTCGCGAGTACCGACTGGCGGAAATGCCATCTTAGAAGTTGCTTGGACACGTGGTGAGGATCATCAGGGTCGCGGCACACGAGATTGAGAATTCTGCCGTCGTAACCTAGAATGTCGGTGTCGAACATAACCACCTTGTAGCCATCGTCCGGGTTAACAGAGACCAGGTACTGGTCGAACAGATAGTGCAAATCCTTCCGGAGAAGAAGTTCGTTTTGA